ATTGTTATATTGAAATTACATCCTTATTGTCTGGTCATTATATGCTCATTGTCTAATTACTGAATCCTCATTATATCCTCGCAATAATCATTCTGTCCTTATTGTATCCTTACTGTGTCCACATTCTTTCTTTATTGCATCTTTGTTGATTCATTGCCTCCTAATTTAATTTTTTTAGTTGTGCATCAAATCATTTTTCGAATTCACGATTGTCTTTCTCTCTTTCTGCTTCAGCCTAACCCTAAACCTAATTCTAATCTATACCCTAACCTAACCTAGGCCAAGCCCTAGCCCTAATTCTAGCCCTAATCCTGGGCCAAGCTGTAAACCTAACCCTAGCCATAGCCTAACCCTTGCCCTAGCTCAAGCCCAACAACAACAACAACAAGATTTCATTTATAGAGCGCCTTTCACGTCGGGAGAACGTCCCAAGGCGCTGGACAGTTGGGTCAGGACCCGAGCATTGGGGGCAAATGGTCAGGGTGAGGTGAGGGAAGGGAGGGAGCGAGGAGGGGGTAGAGAGTCGAGAGGGGAGCTGAAGGCACGGTCGAAGAGAAAGATCTTGAGACCGGCCTTGAAGGAAGAAAGAGAGGAAGCGGCCAAGGCACTGGGGGATGGAGTTCCAGAGCCTAGGGGCTGAGAGGCTGAAGGCCCGGCCACCGTTCATAGGGCGGTTAGGGCGGGGGATGTGGAGCAGACCGGAGCAAGAAGAACAGAGGGTACGTGCAGGTAAGTAGGGGGAGAGGTAAGAGGAAGCAAGGCTGTGAATGGCCTTTTAGGTGAGGATGAGCCCAAACCCTAACCCTAACCCTAGCCCTAAGCCTACCCTACCAATTATGGCTTTGGCTTTCATGTTAACAGGTCATGAATTCAAAAATTATTATTGAGCTGTAGTCACTGTCACACTGTATCAACACTCATAATAATCCTTCCATTTGATATCATGCCTTATTACGCATTATAGATATCTCAAAATGCTTCACAAAATATACTACAAAGTGAATGGATTGTATATTTTGTGGGTGAAATGCAGCAGCCAATTGCACTCAGCAGTGTTCCACAAAGAGTCATGGATTGAGTGACCAAATTATTTTTTTTAAAAAGGAATTCTTACCCCCCGCCCCCTGGAAAAGCGATCCACCAATCAACTAACAATTGGGTTTCTACTTACTGCTAGTTAAACAGAGACTTGTGGAGTAAGGAAACTTGCCCAGTATTTTGCCCTGCTGGGAAACGAACCCAGGTCTCTCGCTTGTGGGGCAAGTGCTCTAACCACTGAGCTATTGCATTCCCCAAGTCTGGCTCACTGACTGCAACCATGTCACAAAGGGAACTGCCAATTTTAGGCTCCCTGATACACTGAATCAAGCTTATGAATGTGCAGGGTGAGATAAGAAGCCATTGGTAGAGTCAACGTCTAGATTTGTGTGAAGCCAAGAAAGGAGAAAACCATGGAGCTGGAGCAGGGGGAGAGACAATGGAGGAGGATGGAATGACCAATGTTTTCGAAGGAGGTAGAGATTGAGTCCAATGGGGTAAACAGAAGGATTGTAGCAGATAAGGAAAACATTGATGGGGCCTTTGTCTGGGCCAGTCTCGATCTGGATGTTATGGAAAGTTAATTGGAGGGACACATAGAGGCAATGTTGGGAAAGGAAGTAGAACACAAGAACATAAGAAATGCTGGATGAAAAAAGACCAAGGTGCATCTAGTTCGCCTTCCACCTTCCTGGCGGTCGCATGCACATATGTCCCAGACTAGCCATGTAGTATATCCCATAATGTTATTTCCTAAAAGAAAACCATCTAATCTGTATTTGAAAGAATCAACACTCCCTGCTTCAACCGTCTCCCAAGGGAGCCTGTTCCACAGGTTCACTGTTCACTCGCTGAAATAGTGTTTGCATAGATTCATTCTGAAATTACCCCCCCCTTCAATCGCAGGCCGTGTCCTCTGATTTTACTACTCGGGACAAGTTGAAACAGCCTGTCATGATCTGGATTGTTTTGCCCCTTTAGAATCTTAAAGACAGCAATCATGTTGCCTTTCAATCTTCTCATTGCCAGCGTTAACATGCCCAATTTACTTAGTTGCTCCTCATAGTCCAGTCCTTCCATTCTCTCAAACATTTTGGTTGCCCTCCTCTGCATCTTCTCGATTTCTTCAATATCTTTTTTGGACTGCAGTGACCAGAATTGTACACAGTACTCTAAATATGGTCTAACCAATGATATATTCAGTGGCAGGATTACCCCACTATTTCAGCTTGCTATTGATCTTTTGATACATCCCAACATCTGGTTTGCTTTACTCACTGACACAGAACATTGTTCAATTTATTGTAAATCAGGATCCCCAGGTCCATTTTCCATTCGTATTATTTTCCTTCCGTTCAAATAATATTCCCTTCCAGGATTTTTTGTTCCCACGTGAAGGACTTGACATTTCTCCACATTAAATTTCATCTGCCACCAATCTGACAATCCGCAGGCATGTTCAAATCCTCCTGTAACCTATCTTGTTCAGATTCACAATCTACCACTTCATTAGCTTTGTGTCATCTGAAAACTTAGCCACTGTACTTACGACTCCTAGTTTCAGAAGCAACTGAGAGGCAACTGTACTTTCCGACATGTTCGACAGGAAGAGTATTTAGGAAATGGGATGATAACTGGAGAACATGGAGGGATTCAGGGATGTTTTCTTGGGGATGCGATTATGCTAGTGGTTTTGAAAGGGGAGGCACTTTGCCAGTGGAGAGAGAGAGGTTGATGACATGGAAACATGTAAACAGGAGAAGACCATTCAGCTCATAGCAACATAAGAATTGGGAGCAGCAGTAGGTCATTCAGACCTTCGAGCCTGCCCCGCTATTCAATATGATCATGGGCGATCTTCTAAACTAACTCCATCTGCCCGCATTATCCCCATATCCCTTAATCCCTCTATCTTTTAGAAATCTATCAATCTCAGTCTTGAATATCATAGAATCGTAGAATCGTACAGCACAAAAAGAGGCCATTCGGCCCATCGAGTCCGTGCTGGTTCTTAGAAAAGAGCAATGTAACATCAATCCCACTCCCCAGCCCTTTCCCCATAACCCTGCAAACCTGTCCTCATCAAATACCCGCCCAATGCGTTTTTAAAAGTAGTTATCGAATCGGCCTCGACCACCCTTTCAGGCAACGCGTTCCAGATTTGAACAACCCGCTGCATGAAAAAAATTCTTCTCACCTCCACTCTGCTTCTTTTAGATACTATTTTGAATACTGCGACCTCAAGTCACCGACACACCCACCAGTGGAAACAGTTTTTCCCTTTCTAACCTATCAAATCCCCTTATGATTTTGAAGACCTCGATCAGGTCTCCTCGTAACCTTCTCTGCTCCAATGAGAATAATCCTCGCTCACTAGCCTTTCCTCATAATCAAGGTCCCTCATTCCTGGTACTATTCTTGCAAATCTCCTCCGCACCCTTTCCAATGCCTTAACATCCTTCCAAAAGTGTGGTGCCCAGAACTGGGCGCAGTATTCTGAGACCTGACCAGTATTTTATATAGGTTAATCATAAGCTCCTGACTCTTGTACTCTATGCCCCTATTTATAAAGCCTAGTATCCCATATGCCCTTTTTACAGCTTTATCTACCTGTCCTGCCACCTTCAAGGATTCATTTACCTGCACCCCCAGGTCTCACTGTGCTTTTAGTGACCCCCTTAAGATTGTATTACCAGTCTATATTGCCTCCCCTCATTCTTTCTACCAAAATGTATTACTTTTGCCTCTAACAAATCAGTGCTGGCTGTCCCTAATTAATCCATATTCTTCTAAGTGAAGCTTTATTCTGTTCCGGATTATAGTCTCCAGGAGTTTCCCCACACTGATGTTAGGTTGACTGGCCTGTAGTTCCCAGGTTTGTCCTACTGTCCCTTTTTGTACAGGCGAGTAATAGGGGAATATGTTCAAGGACTGAGCATCTACAGCCTTCTGGGGTAGAGAATTCCATAAATTCACTACCCTCTGAGTGAAGACGTGTTTCCTCAATTCTGTTCAAAAGGGCTGACCCTTAATCTTAAAACTGTGACCCCGAGTTATAGATTCTCCTACCAGGGCAAACAGTCTCACACTGTCTACTCTGTCAAGCTCCATAAGAATCTTATATGTTTCTTTAAGGTGACCCCTAATTCTTCTATATTCTAGAGAATATAAGCCTAGTTTACTCAACCTATCCTCATAGGTCAACCCCCTCATCCCAGGAACTAACCGAGTGAATCTAACCTCGTGGCTCTCTTTTAGCCTCTTCCACCATTCTATTAGATCACGGCTGAACTGTACCTCAGCTCAATTTACTCCTTTTCTCTATGTCCCCTGATACCTTTCCATGACAAATATTTATCAATCTCAATCGGAAAAGTTCCAATTGATGTACAGTCCAAAGTCTTTTGGGGAGAGAATTTCTGATTTCCACAACCCTTTGTGTGAAACAAGCTTCCTGGTGAAAAAAAATGCTTCCTGGTCATCATTGGTTCACGGGGGTGGGGGAGGAGGTTGGCCAGGATCTGTGTGAGGAGTGGGTAAGAGAGCAGTTGATGGGTTTTAATGGGAAAGATGAGGGAGGGGAGGGATGAGGGGCAGATACAGCCCAAGATGTGGAGTCCTATAGCTCAGTGGTTAGAGCACTCGCTTTGCAAACGAGAGACCTGAGTTCAATTCCAGGCAGGTCAGGGCGAAACCTTGGGCAAGTTTCCTTACTCCACACACTCAATAATAATCCCTCCAAAAACCCAAAACAATAATAAAAATTGGTCATTTTCAATCTACGACTGTTTGTGGGACATTGCTGTGCGCAATTGGCTGCTGCATTCGCCCACAAATATATAGTCAATTCACTTTACAGTGTATTCTGTGAAGCGCTTTGGGACGTCCTCCCAAGCGCTATATCAAATTCAAGGATTATTATTATTATTATTAATAAAGATGTGAATGAAGCCTGGTGGAGCATGAGGGGGCAGCAGGTGGTGCAGGCAAAGGCTGCTGAGTACAGGCTGGAAGGAGAGGTGATGGTGGAGGTAGATCTGTTTGATCTGTTGGAGTTGTGGCTGAGGGAGCTTAGGACAGTGGGCAGAGATGGTAGATAGTGGGAGGCTATATTTGCTCAAAAGCAAATGCTCGCCTCTTTACTTTGTTTGTTCAGGTGACAGGTGACAGGAACACCCAATGGAGCGACATCTCATGAGATTTCTCTCCAGGTATAATTAAAGAAACACCGAATGAAAAACCTCAGTCTGCCAGATCTCGACAAGAGAGCACCTCGCACACCATTGTGATCAATGCAGCATGGAACATTCAGTCATTTTTCAGATAGAAGCCATTTATTACCTCCTTCTGGCCATTGTTGGTGTTCCGGGTGAGTCAAATATCATCCAAATCAGATTTTTTTGATTTCAAGTTCAAGCGAAGGTGCTTCAGGAGTGCGATGAATACTCGGCAGTATAAATAGCATTGTGAGATCTTTAAGCACCATTTGAACAGACACAGGAGAGAGCATGACTGACTGATCCACGTGCTGACGCTATCAATAACATAATCGTGCAAGACTGTGATTTTCTTTGTGTTTTCTTCCTACAGTCAACTTGGTGGCGATCGTGATTCTGTCCCGTGGAAAATTTGGCCTCTCCAGATGTGTCACTCGCTACCTCGTGGCCATGGCCGCATCAGACCTGATGGTCGTCGTCACTGATGTGATACTGAACCGGATTAATAATATCTATTTCCCTTTCAGCTTCATGTTTTACACCCCAGTGTGCAGCCTCCGGATGGCATTGCTGGCGTCCGCCAACGAGAGCTCAGTCTGGCTCACGGTGGGCTTCACCTTTGACCGCTTTGTGGCCATCTCGTGTCAGAAGCTGAAAACCAGATATTGCACCGAGAGAATCGCCACAATAGTCACCGGCACAATCTCGGTGCTGAGCTGCTTACAAGGCATTCCCTGGTATTTCATATTCATTCCTGGCGCCATAGTGAACAGCATCCCCTTGTATTGCATAGAGAAACCAAGTTTTTACACTTCCCCTTTATGGAGAGGCTTTGAGTGGTTCGTTCGAGTGCTCACCCCTTTGCTTGTGATCGGGTTAATTTTCCTGTTCAATGCTCTCACAGTGAGGAGCATTGTGATAGCGAGCAGAGCTCGCAGGAGACTGCGAGGGGGAGGGAACGCTGCCGAGAAACAAAGTGACCCAGAGATGATGAACCGGCGCAGATCCATCATTTTGCTCTTCACCATATCGACCAGTTTTGTGCTTCTGTGGCTCACCAGTGTGGTGTACTTTCTGAAATGGCCCATTACCAACTTTTTCAATCATCAGGAAGCCGACGGAAGCAACGTTCCCTACATTATCCAAGAATGTGGGTTTATGCTTCAAATCCTCAGCTCCTGCACCAACACGTGCATTTATGCAGCGACCCAGTCAAAGTTCCGAGCGGAGCTTACAAACGGCATCAAATATCCTTTCAAATCAATTGTAAAAATGTTTAAATAAAATCATTACTCATCTAATTCCAGCAGGACTGAACCGCCAATCATTTGCTCTCATGCCACTTTAAGGAAAGAACAACTTGCACTCATATAGTACCTTTCGGGAAGCTCTTCACAATTATTTAATAATAATAATAATAATAATAATCCTTGCATTTGATATAGCGCTTTTCACGTCGGGAGGACGTCCCAAAGCGCTTCACAGAACACACTGTAAAGTGAATTGACTGTATATTTGTGGGCGAACGCGGCAGCCAATTGCGCACAGCAATATCCCACAAACAGTCATAGACTGAAAATGACCAATTTGTTATTGTTTTGTTTTGGAGGGATTATTATTAGGCTCTGTGTGGAGTAAGGAAACTTGCCCAAGGTTTCGCCCTGACCTGCCTGGAATTGAACTCAGGTCTCTCGCTTGCAAAGCGAGTGCTCTAACCACTGAGCTACAGGACTCCTTGCATTTTCACATTGCCGAGACATCTCAAAGTGCTCCAAAGGATACACTGTAGAGCGTAGTGACTGCGTATTTTGTGGGTGAAATGCATCAGCCAGTGGCACTCAGTAATGTCCCACAAACAGCCATGGCGTGAGTAACCAATTTTATTTGGGCGATTGTTGGCCATGACCCCGGGAGAGAGAAACTCCTCTTTTCAAAATAGTGCCATGAGCTTTTTAACGGCCATTTGAGCAGGCAGGTGGACCTCTGTTTAACTTCTCATCCAAATGATGGCACCTGCAATAATGGAAAGTTCCCTTAGAACCAAAATAGAATGCTTGTGTGTACGTTGTGTAGGACGGTGACCAAAAAGGTAAGGCAGGCAGAGGACAAGAGAGGCAGTAATTGAGAAAACCTGAGGGAGGTAGAAATTGAATGGGAGATAATTTCTTTCAGGAATGGAAGTAGATGTTAATGAGCAGGGTGGCAGGTAGGGGATGGAGGAGTTTAGGGAGATAAGGCTGTGATTGGAGAAGGCTTTATCGGTCATGTTGATGTCCAAGATGGTGAGGCCACAGGGATCACAAAATCAAAGTGGTGGCCATGGATATGGTGCAGTCAATGTGAAGGGAGAGGTTGACAGAAGAGAGAAGGGACCAGATGTTGATCGAGGTGGAGCAAGCAGGGGAGAATTGTAGGCTGAAGTAAATTCCTGTAGCATATTGATTAGAGCACTCACCTCAACAGCGAGAGGTCCCAGCTTCAATTCCCAGGCAGGACGAAACATTAGGCAAGTTTTTTTACTCCCCACACTTCTGTTTACCCAGCCGCAAGTAGGAACCTGGTGGTTAGTTGATTGGTGGATCACTTTCTGATGGGTAATAATCCCTTCAAAAAAATAATTTAGTCACTCAATCCATGACTATTTGTGGGACCCGCTGCTGTGTGCAATTGGCTGCCGTGTTTCGCCCACAAAATACAGTCGATTCACTTTACAGTATATTCTGTGAAGTTCTTTGAGACATCTCAACGATGTAATAAGGCGCTATATTAAATGTAAGGATTGTTTTTATTATTATAGAGTCCTGTATCCTATTGGTTAGAACGCTCGCCTTGCAAGCGAGAGAACCCCAATTCAATTCCAGGGCGGGGAGAAACCTTAGGCAAGTTTCCTTATACCACACACCTCTGTTTACACAGCGGTAAGTAGGAACCTGGTTGTTAGTCGATTGGAGAATTGCTTTCTAGGAGTAATAATAATCCCTCCAAAAAAATAATAAATTGGTCACTCAATCCGAGACAATGCTGTGCGCAATTGGCCGCTGAGTTTCGCCCACAAAATACACAGTCAATTTACTTTACAGTATATCCTGTGAAGCACTTCGAGACATTTTAATGACATGATAAGGTGCTATATCAAATGCAAGGATTAATATTATTAGTATTACTTCACATTGACTTTCTTTCCTCCTCCTCATCTAGTGTGACTTAATAATACTAACAATATTATTTCCTCCTCCCTTTCCTCCTTCAAGGCCGGTCTCAAGACCTTTCTCTTTGACCGTGCCTTCAGCTCCCCTCTCGACTCTCTACCCCCTCCTCGCTCCCTCCCTTCCTTCCCCTCACCCTGACCATTTCCCCCCTGCTCGGGTCCTGACCCAACTGTATAGTGCCTTGGGACGTCCTCCCGACATGAAAGGCGCTCTATAAATCGAATGTTGTTGTTGTTGTTGAGGAGTTTGGAGCCGAGGGAAGATAGATAGGAGATATCCAAGAACAAGATGCTTTAAGGTTTTGAGAGATGGTAGATGATGAGTTTCAGAGGAACAAGGATACAGACCAAGTTGGGGATCTGGAGATGAGAGCCAACCTGCCACCACAGTGAATGGGGTTTGGGATACAATGAATGGTGAAACCTGATGGGGCAGTCTTGGTGAGGGGGTAGTGTCACCAGGGCTGAGCCAAGTTTCACTGATTGGAAGGATTTCGATGATATCATTTAGGATGACATTGTGGATGGTGAGAGCTTTGTGAAGAGAAGAAACAAATAGGAGTAATGTGGGATTGGGTAGCAGTGAGTAAGGCAAACCAGATGCTGATTTGTATTAAAATGGCAATATTGAGCAGCAATAGAGGGGTAATCCTGCCACTTTATAAATTACTGACGCGACTGCTCATGGAATATTATGAGCAGTTCTGGTCACCGCAATATAAAAGGGATATTGCAGGGATTGAGAGTACACAGAAGAGGGTAATCAAAATGATTGAGGGAATGGAGGAACTGGACTACAAGGAGTGATTAAGTGAAGTGGGCATGTCCACATTGCAAAAGAGATAGTTCAGGGGCAATATGGTTACGGTCTTTAAGATTCTGAAGGAGCTAGATAATATACATTTCTAAATAACAACCCTGTACTCCCATCTTCTGCCTCCTATCCTGTGAACAACTATACTACTACTTTTCTAGGAATAACATGCACCCTAATTTTTAATAAGCCTCTTATGTGGCACCTCATCAAAATCAACATGAAAATCCATGTACACAACATCCATTAAACATCATCTGTCGAAACCATTATGAAAATCCATGTACACAACATCCATTAAACATCATCTGTCATTGTTCAGCCTATTGCGAAATTATGAAGGGTTTTGACAAAACTGCTCAAACAAGTTACTCAGACAAATGCGATAATTCTCTGAAATGAAACACAATTCCTGATATCAAATATTTGAACACCTTGTGCTTTCAACAACAACAACAACTTGCACTTATACAACGCCCTCCATGCAAGGTAGCGTCTCAGAGCGCTTAACAGTGTCGGAGCTTGACTCCAAGTCATGGGGAGGCGGGGGGTGGAGGGGCTGGGAGGAGCCAAAGAATATTCAGCTGCAGGAAGTTTGCACACATCTGGGCCCCGATGTCTGCCAGACAAGTTGATAGAACAATGGATGGCTTTCCGACATAAAGGTGCTATATAAGCGTAATTTGTTGTTGTTTACGTCGTGTCTGCAAATGACATCGCCAAGAGGGAGCATATAGATGAGGAAAAGAAGGAGGCCAAGGAGGTACTCTGCAGCTGATCGGAGGAGAAATCATTCGGGAGGAGAAATCATTTGCCGAGATGAAGTAGAGGCGCTTGGTTAAGTAATAATTATAATAATCTTGCATTTGATATAGCGCCTTATCACATCTTCGAGACGTTTCAGAGCGCTTCACAGAATATACTTTAAAGTGAATTGACCGTGTATTTTGTGGGCAAAACGCAGCAGAAAATTGTACACAACAGTGTCCCACAAACAGTCATGGATTGAGTGACCAAATTATTAGTATTTTTTATTTTTGAGGGATTATTATCACTGGAAAGTGATCCGCCAATCGACTGACAAGCGGGTTCCTATTTACTGCTAGGTAAACAGAGACAGGTGTGTGTGTTTGTGTGTGTAAGGAATAAGGAAACTTGCTGAAGGTTTTGCCCTGTCCCAGGAATTGAACCCGGGTCATAGAATCATAGAATCATACAGCACAGAAAGAGGCCATTCGGCCCATCTCGTCTGCACCGGCTCCCAAAAGAGCAATCCAACTCAATCCCACTGGCCCTCTTTCTCTCCATAGCCCTGCAATCCTGTCCTCCCCAAATATCCATCTATTTCTCTCCTAAAAGTTGTTATTGAATTGGCTTCCACTACCCTTTCAGGTAATGCAATCCAAATCCAAACAACTCGCTGGTGAAAAAAAAATTCCTAACCTCCCCTCTGTTTCTTTTAACAACTATCTTAAATCCTCGGGTTACTGACCCACATGCCAATGGAAACAGTTTTTCCTGGTTCAACCTATCAAATCCTCTCATGATCTTGAAAACCTCTATTAAATCCCCTCTTAATCTTCTCTGCTCCAGGGAGAATAATCCTAGTTTCGCTGACCTCTCCTCATAACTAAGGTCCTTAATTCCTGGTACCATCCTAGTAAACCTCCTTTGCACCCTCTCCAATGCCCTAACATCTTTCCTAAAGTGCGGTGTCCAGAACTGAAGCCTCACCAGCATTTTATAAATATTCAACATAACCTCCAGACTTTTGAATTCTATGCCCCTATTTATAAAACCTAGTATCACATATGCTTTTTTAACAGCTTTATCCACCTGTCCTGCCACCTTCAGAGATTTGCTTATGTGGACCCCCAGGTCTCTCTGTTCATTTGCCCCCTTTAAGATTGTACCATCAGCTTATATTGCCTCTCCTCATTCTTCCTACCAAAATGCAACACTTCACATTTCTCCACATTAAACCTCATCTGCCACGTTTCTGCCCATTTTACCAATCGGTCTAAGTCCTCTTGGAGTCTGGTGTTATCCTCCTCACCATTAACTACTTTTCCTAGCTTAGTATCGTCTGCAAATTTGGAAATTGTGTTCCCTATATCCAGGTCCAGATCACTGATATAGATCAGAAAGAGCAGTGGTCCCAATACCGATCCCTGAGAGACACCACTACACACCTCGCTCTGGTCAGAAAAGCAATCGTTTACTACCACTCTCTGCTTTCTGTCTCCTAGCCAGTTCTGGATC